GCTCCTTTTAAATCTCGAGTTGGTACTTGACAGAGATGAACATACCACAGGCCTATGTCCCAGACTCCTGATTAAGACCCGGACAGGAGCCCCCTGGGGGCGGATTATTGACAGTCAGCACTCAGCTGAAAATCACCAGATGTAGCCGGACGTGGGTTTAGGAGTGGAAAATGCGGGCCCACCGGAAGCCGGAGCTGCCAGGTGGGGACATTTGGGGGATGAGATGGGGCAGTAATTGGTCCAACACTTCAGAAGCAGCGGAAGCAGCACTAGGAACAAAAAGTCTGAGGATGCTGCTGGGCTGGGAAGGAATTTTCCCAAAAGTCTTTCAAGAGACTCGTCCAATCTGGGGGAGGCGGGGGGACCCTTTGGTTCTCAGCCCAGGCAGAGTGTGTGCCTGATATTCACAGTGAGGTTCATAGTAGTTCAGCTGAGAGGCCAAAGAGTGTGAGGAGACAGGGCGAACCCGCGACAACAGACATTTACGCTGGAATAAAGGAAACAAATTCAGAGTGGGGACCTCTGTGCCCAGCACTCCCTGGTCCTCTGCTCCTGGCCCACGCCTGCCCCCAACCCCAGGGCGGTGATGATGACCGGCCTCACAGGTGCCTCCAGGTCACCTGCATGTTCAAGGCTAAAAATTCAACTTCCTCTCTCTCCTCCCTTGTTCCCACACTTCCCTCCCCCAGTCACCGGCACCCCTCGCCCCATCTCTCAGGGTCCAACACCCCCAGCTGCTGAGTTCTCTCTTCTCCCTGTCCCGGGGAGCTGCTTTCTGCTGGACCCTGTCAGCGCTGAGGGCCCTGGTTCATGCCTCTTCTTCACTCGTTGGGATGTTTCACAGCATCCTAACTTCTGTCTCCCTTGTATGCATTCTAGACACGACCACATGTCCTCACGTCTCCCCCTGCGTGAGATCCGAGGGGCCGCCCTTGGGCTGCAGAATCCAGCTGAGGTCTTCAGGCCAGTTCGCACTTTCTCCACGTTCCCATCTTCATCTCCCCCTATCCGGCCACCGTCCAGCTGCTTCTCATTTCCCTAGCTCTCAGGCCTCCACGCTTTGGCCCAGAAGGCTCACTTCTCCGGGGATGCCCTCCTCAGCCCTCCCTCTTTTCCTCCACAAATATTTCTTAAGTGTCTGCCAAGAGCCGGGCTGGTGCTAACCTCTTGGCCTGCAGCCCTGGTAAACCAGCTCCACTCAGCTCCTGCCTTCTGACGGTTTAAATTATATTTGGGAAATCAACATTTGAAAACACCTGATAGACTTTATATTCTAGGGATACAGGCACAATATACGTTTCTTTTAAAATAAAGTTTAGTATACTCTAAAGGACTTCAATACTTGAGAATTTTATTTTTAAACTTGAAACAAGAATATCGAAAGTTTAAAACGTTAGCTTTTAAAATTAGTTATTTAAAATTAGAAGTCTCTGTTACCAGTACAAAGAAGAAAGTGCATCAAATGCAAATAATAAGGGCCTCCAACTCAGGAGATGTGGCAGGGGAAAAGTAAACAGGGTATTACCCCCTACAAAGAACTGGAGGACTCCGTTTCAACTGCGTGGTGAGTTCAGCTTTAATGCATCACTGGCGTCCTGCTTAACTTTCTGCTTTCTGGTGGGCCATCCTCTCTCGAAACTCAGAAACTTTAACTGAAGCCTGTAGTTGACTTCCCAGGCCTGTCAGAAGAGGTTCTGATCCTCCGAGAGACCAGAAAGAGGAAAGCAGGCATCCTTGAAGAACATTAAAAACCAAGGTGCCTGGGTCTCTGTAAATCTCATTACCATCCAATACAGCATCTATCATGTAATAGTTCAAAAAAGAATCCCGTCGTCCTTTCTTCTTTTCTGCACTCCCTATAATGTCTGTCACAGAGCCTGACACACAGTAGGTGCAAATAAACACACCTGGAGCTGATAATTGTGCATGAAATCACTCACCTAAGGGGACCAGAGCTTAAAGTGGCAGCCTCTGTGGGAGTAGTCATCTTAGAAAGATATCTTATCTTAAAAGAGCAGTAATGGGGAGTCATATTGTCCCTACAATGGTCAGAAGAACATAATTCAACTCCGAGCCTGTTGCAAACCAATGAAGTAATTGAAAGAAGTGCTAATAAGTCAGAGAGCATTCTGAATCTGGAAGCACTGGACAGACACACACACAGGTGTACATATGTATGTTAAGTGATACTGTTATTAGTGGTGAATATTCTAGAACTGCTGCTTGAATTCATCTTTCACAGCAAGAGAAACAAGCTCTATTTTTAAAAGACATTCAAGAAATCAAAGCCAGAGGAAAGACACAAATGTTTACGGAGACAGCAGGGAAGCTGTTCAGTTCCTTTCCAGAAGTTTAAGTTGGCTGATGGGGGTCAATTAAGTAGGCTAATTACTAGGTTCTATGTTGATCAGATTGATCAATACTGACTTTTTTCAGGTGCAGCAAAAACGCAGTCACGCACACAAGGCAGGTGGAGAACATTCACCCATCTGACTTGATGTGAAGGTCTGAATACTAAATGAATCGGACAGCGGGGCTTCTTATCATCACAATGATTTAAAGCCGTTTGTCCAGTAAGCAAGCACTTCAGAAAAATAAACAGAGAAAGGAAAGGGGGACAGTTGAGGAGCCTGGTCCCCCTGAGCAATCCATTGCCCGCAAAGATGATTGGACCCCAGGTCATTCATTGATCCCACTTTTCAAACCAGATTGAGAAAGAGACTTCAGTTTGGTACTAGGTGTCCCTGAAACCTGTTACATGTTCTGGCCACAAAGAACGAAGTGTCTGGGCAGTGGTGAATCGATGCGCCGTGCAGCTGACGTGACCGCCCCTCCGGTCCTGACCTTGCTGAAAAATTTGTAGGAAGTATAGACGCTGGGGAAGGAGTGTAGAAATGAGGAGGGAAGCCAGTACCGTCGGCCCTCTGTACCCGCGGATTCCACTACCCGCAGTTTGTGGACTCAGCAGATGTCAAGGGACTGTGCATCTCTGGTTTATTAAAGTTACTTTAATAAAAAAAAAATTAAATAAATAATAAAATAATACTTTCTCTTAATAATAAAAAAAAAATACAGTTGCCAAACAGAAAGTAGCAATCTAAATGCCAAAAGCACCAGGCATAGCTGAGGGAAGGAGTGGCGTTCAAATGATTAATTACACTCACACCGTTTCTCCCTTACACTGATCTCTCCCGCCGAGAGCTTAACAGACTTGTCAGTTAGTTACGTGTGAATCATCCTCCACTTGCCTAATTTGCCTTTGAAGTTAGTGCTTGGCAAGCTGCACTTCCTTAAATACCAACTTACATGGTTTGTTTTTAGGGGGCAAAAAAAGGAAGGCACCCCAGCTCCTGTCCTAATATTTCAGCATCTAAGGATCTAATGGATCTGTTTCGGAGCTCACTTAAGAGGGCTGGTTCTTGAGAAACAGAATGAATTCTTTGTGGTAATGAATTCAGGAATCAAACCAGATCCAATAGCATAAGCTCTGAAAGTTGGTTTCTGTGAAATGCCAGTGTAGCAGGTTAATTTTTTTAAAAAGGGGGTGGCAGGGAACAAAGGCAGGCACACCCCTGAGTGCAGCAGCAGAGTCAGGGAGGAGATTTTCTTAGGACATCAAAGTTATCAGCTGTTCATTCCTTTTAAAGTACACAGTGTGTTTTCCTACGGCCTCTTTACATAATGTAGAATTATTACATAATGTAGAATTATTCCTTTTCATTTTATATGATTTACATCTTTTACCATTCCAACATTTAATTCTTCAGAAGTGACTTATTTTCACAGCAGTAAATATCAAGTCTAAGTGTGATCGAAGTTATTTCTCTGTGACACACGAAGCCCAGACCTGAATGTTAGCTCCACCACAGTTTTTAAAAGCAAACTGGGTGGCCACATCCTCCCTGCCCACTTCCCCTCAGCTCTCTCCCGGGCACACCTGAGCCTCTGCTCAGAACCTGGGGCTCTGTGGAAACCTCGGTCCTGGTCCCCAGAAGAGGGACGTCACTGGCAGCCCTGTAGGCCTTGCCTTTTCAAAATACGGCAAGCTTGGAGGTTTCTCTTGCCTGAGTGAGCCTGCGAGAAATTCTTGGAAATTTTCAACAACAGGGCAGAGTGGGCAGGCTCACAGATCTACAGGAAAATGTACCAGCTAAGTTGGATCTGCCTTAGGGGACTGTGCCAATATTCACCTTGGAAGGGCACCCAGGGCAGCAAAAGGAAATGCAATGGGGGATAAATTAGGATTTCTGGTTTGAAGCAAATGAGAGAAAGTGTTATTAGACTTAAAATGTCAGTACTCTCACAGTGAAATGAATGGACTGTCGTCAAAAGACCAGAAAGTAGCGCTTGTGGTTCCGGACTCAGATTTCTGCTCTTAAAGAAATCCTCGGTTTTTAGGAATCTGGCCAGCTCTGCGAAAATTAGATCACTGAGGCCAGACCTGCACGGACTAGCAGACCTGACAGTGCCACGAGCTCTGTTTTAAAAGTCAAAACTGAGAACGAGGCAAACATGGGGAGCAAAGCCATAGGGCACATTTCTGCATGGTAGGTCCCCAGGGCAGGACAGGTGCCGCACAGAAGTGTCCCCGGGACTGGTGGGCGCCTGGTGGTGACAGCGCTGCTGTGGTCGCTATACCATCCCACACAGCAGAGCCGTAAGAGGGGGCCTCTGACAAAATGCAGTGGCCAAGTCAGGGTGGCCCAATTCAGAAAGCAGCACATCAGCAAGAATGAAAAATAAATCTCTAAGATTCCTAAGTGGCCTCTCCAAGTACAGGAAACGCAAGTGCAACACACATACACAATCCCACGGGCTGGCAACACACTGGAGGGCAGAATCAAAAAGCAGACAGAACTCTTGAAAAAATTCTTATACAGAATGAAAATGACTATTATCTAATGACTTGCTGTGACAAGGGCATGAATCCCATTTTCCATTTTACAGGGTGAAAGGCTGGATGAAGCCCATTTGAAACAAATGTTACAAAAGCGACTCACCTGGAAATCCTGATCGTCAATTCCAAACCTCTCCCGCAGGTTACGGAAAACCATCGGGCAGTATTCCTTAAACTTGAAGTGGCTCGGCATGTTTTCTCTGAAACAGGCAAATGGTGGAAGAAAGCTCAGACGTGCAGAGGGGGAACTGGCCTTGGATGGGCTGCCGTCTTGTTTCCCTGTAGCCACAGAAGAGCTTAGGGTTCCCACCCACAGGAGGCACAGGTGTGCTGCGAGGGACCAACTATAACCCACATTAAGAGCTGGGGGACAGAAGGGAGACATACAAGGGGATTGGTGAAGGCAAAACAAATTGCTTGGTGAGTCAGGGAAGGGCAGCAGAGAGCCACCAACAGCGCCCCCTACACTCATCCTGGGCTACCTGCTAATGGAAGTGTACAAAACAAGACTGTCAGGTGGGGGCTGGGGGTGGGGCTCAGTGGTGGGGCTCAGTGGTGGAGCACGTGCTTGATGTGCTGGGTTCTAGGCCTCCGTCAAGGGGGGGAAAAAAAACAAGACTGCCTGTCACTCCTGGAACCACCTGTTTTACCTTTTATATAAATACTGCATTCTAAAACCATACAGAAATGGTCCCCTTAAAAGGTCACCCTTTAAACGGCATTGTGAGAATAATTAACACATCAGCTGCACCTTAGAACAATGGCCCCATTAAGAAATTTCACAATGGGTCCTCACGTGGGAGGGGTTTCACTGGGGCTCAGCCCACTCTTTCAGAATTGCTTCCTCCTTCGTGTTCACAGACACACATTCCCCTCTGTTGTGGGACTCTGCGCACAAATGATGGTGATTTGTATGTGCGTCCATTTTCAACACCCCACCCGACTGTGAACCGCCCCCGCTAAGGGCTGTACTGTTTTTCATACATCCGTGTATCTCCCGCTGTCAATGAACTGCCCTCCCCCAGACGGTGTTCCATGACGTCTAACTTGACATTGAAAAGAAGGAGAAACAGTCTCAATGCCCACCATGGCATCCAATTACATTTGATATAAGTACACCTTAATTCTTTATTGCTCTAGGAATTAGTCATCTCTGTTCATAAAGTAATCATTAGCGGGGTTTTGTGTAAGAGAGCTGAGGTCCATAGCTGCTAAAAAAAAAAAGTCCAAGCAATTTACAGCTTCAAACATTTAAATTGTAATGAGAATATCACTTTTAACATATAAGATATTCATAGAGAACAATATGCCATATGGCAAAAAGATATTACCCAAGAGGGCCTGCTGTTGCTTTTCTGAAAATGACAGATGGTTATGTTTATCACAGGATTTACTTCATCAGCAAAACTTTACTCCCACCCATTGAAAAATAATGTGATTCTAGAAATTCACAAAAATCATACTTCTGGCAGCCACGCCAGTTCTTATAAAAAGGTGGTGCTGGTACTTACTTGTTAAAAAGGTGATTGTCCACCTTTATCTTTGAATAGGCTTTGAAATCATCTGGCATCAACATGACAGGGATTTGAACGTGGCTCAGTTCGTTGATCTAGAAAAATATAAAATAAATGACACAGGTTGTTACTATCCAGGTGGACAGTGCTTGACTTGAACGTGTAATTTATTGAGAAAATATGGTGGGCGCTAGGACTTCCCAGCCCACCTTCCCCGCTGTTCCTGTCCCGCATCATCTCTCCCGGTGCTGTCCTCACTGTCTCAGCAGAATCCCCCACTGCCTCCCACCTCACCTCCAGTTCCAACTCCCACTGCTCACCCCTGTCTGCTGCTGGGCCTCCTGGATGGCAGTGATGGGAGGGATTCTGGAGGGTGACCCCTCATGGCCAGCTGTCCCTGCTTCCCCCATCCCTCCTCCCACTTCCCCTCCAGAGCCTCAACCCAGGGCTCCTTCAATCACATGTCCAGGTCAACTTCCCTCTGTAAAGAAAATACTGTCTGAGAAAGAGGGTTTTTAAATGTCTGATAGTAATATTTGTTGAATGAATGGCTATGACTATTTCTTTACACTTCTGGGTATTCAAAAGGCAGCGCTGTCAGTCATATGATCTTTACCTTATACGAACTAAATTTAAAAGTAAGTATTGGGGTGGGGCATGAGTTTACCAGAAGAGGAACCCTCATGAAGGAAAAGAAGAAAACATATGGCCCTGGGATTAAATCAGAGGGAGGCGGGTTGCCCAGGGGTCAAGACGAAAGCACAGCTTTATGTGGTTATAGCCAATAAAAGGTTAAGCCCAGTTCCACTTACATTCCCGCGAGTGGCAGGGACAGCTTTGGACACCTGACTTGGTGAGAGCTGAACTTTCTCTGGGTCAGTTACTTTTCATCTCAGTTCCCAAGCTATATAACTCCCTAGCTGCTAGTAATAAAAGCCACTTTAAAGGTTTATGCTTCCAGTAAATGGAAGATACTCGGAAGGGCTCTCAGTTACAAAAACAAAAAACAAACCAAAAGTACGAGTTCTCTGATGGACAGAGTTGTTAACCTTTTGCTGGGTTCATAGAAAGCAGGGGACTCGTCAAGGCGCCTTTCTTCCCCGACAGTGAGTTGAATCCACAGGGCGTGTGCTGACCATCAAGGAAGCGTGGAGGGAGGGGCTTCTCTGAAGATAAATACCAGTTTCACACTAGGGGTCAGAGCGTAGCTGGGGAGCTCAACCCAAGACTTCGACATGGAACTAAGACCTTTTTTAAAAAATTGGGGGGGGGTAGGTAATTAGGTTTATTGGTTTTTTACTTGTTTATTTTAATGGAGGTACTGGGGGGATTGAACCCAGGACCTCGATGCATGCTAAGTGTGCACTTTACCACTAGAGCTATACCGTCCCCGCTTAAACTGAGACCTTTGAAGGAAGCAAAAGGGGTCCCAGCACCTGGTAGAAGTAAATGCAAATGGTGCCTGGAAGAAAGCGTCCCTGACATGGAATGTTTTTGAACAGTAAGAGCTGGTGAGCTTCTGGGTTGGTGAGCACATCCATGTGCCAGGAGGGTGATGCACCCGAGTCCACAGACAGACGCTCCTGCACTGGGGCCCTTCTGAGCCTTGCCCTATGTACTGCTCCATCTGTATGCTTTATAACCTCTTCTGTAATAAACTGGTAAACATATAAACATGCTTTTTCTGAGTTCTGTGCACTGCTTAGCAAATTAACGGACTCTGAGGAGGGGGCTGTGGGAAACTCTGATTTGACAGCCAGGAGGTCAGAGGCACAGGTAACAGCCTTGACTTGTGGTTGGCATCTGAAGTGGGGGAGAAGCGCAGTCTTGTGCGCCTGGGCCCTTAACCGGTGGGGTCTGATGTGAGCTCCAGGAAGACGGTGCCAGAACTGACGTACTGCCTCGTGGCACTGGAAAGAACACATGTGGCATAAACCCATCAAAACTACCAAAAAAGAGGGCAAAATAAAGGCTCTCAACTGAGAACTACGCCACAACATGCCTCACTAAAGGAACTTACAAGCTTGAGAAGCACATTATTTAAACTCTGAGGACATACTTCAGAAAGAAGGTAAACATTGTGGGTGGAAGGTCTGAGATACAAAGACTACTATATTCACATAGTACTTAATATTTATAATAATTAGCACAGGGTTATATTATGCTGGGCACTGCACAAATCTTCAAACCTAACAAATCAGATTGGATACCACTGCCCTCATTTCCTGATTTGCGTTGATTTCCTTGTGGTACCTGCTTTTTTCCACAGAACTGTTGAGAATTCAGCTTTCCAAAGATAATCATTGTGCCATGGGAGGGAGTACCAAGTTGAAATCGACAGCTCCCTCGCACTAGTAGTTCGCGTGGTGTCTTACAGATGTCGAGATCACCAGGCTTCCCTTGAATTTTTGAAGTGTCCCGTGGCGTGCCTCCTGAATTTGCTGCAATGCCCTAGGCTACCTGGGCAGTTATGGGACCACAGATACAAACAGCAGCAGATGTTTAAAACAGCGAATGATATAATCTAATCACGGAAGAAGATAATCAGAATCATCCCCTACCGTGCATTGTATTGGATTATAACCTATAGCCACTTTATATTCATCCCAAACAATTTTAATTACAAGCATCAGTTAATCCTTAACCCTTATAAACTGATGGTCCTTATAACCCTTCCAAGCAAGTAGTTTTCTTGGGATAGCGCAGTATCAACTGCATTTGTGCAAAGCCAAATTACAATTCTGTTCCTCTCAGATAATGGCAGTAACTTCATCAGACATCACTTTCAGCCGATTTTATTTTATACTATATTATTAGAATCTCTTTCATGTTACAGCCCATAAAAGTGCATGAAACTTCCACTCAGCCACAACACTAGACTAATTTAAAATAATCTCTCCCATTCAGTTTACTCAAGTATCTTGCAATGCTAAATAATTTTCAGCATATGTTTGTGAAAAATTAAAATCTACGTTATCTTTATGCTAGCACTGAAATATCAAAGTTTGAAAGAAAAAAAAAAGAATCAGAACTGAAACCCAAGCCTTGTGACAAGCACAGTCAGACCGAGGCTGGTGGCAGTTAAATCAATTTCTCAAGACCCTGTGGAACTAGGAGGGAATAAGTAAAAACAAAGGAAGTTCACAGGGTGACAAGGAAAAATTAAGCAACAATCAACTCTATATTACTTTCACCAAATGACACAGAAGAAAGTTGCAAAGAACATAATAGGTGATTCCTGTCACATCTCTGCTTCCCGTGGCTACTGAGAAAGCAAAACCAGATGTGGAAGCAGCGACGTCCAAGTCCGTCCTTTCCTCCCTCATGCCGCTGACATCTGTACTGGTGACAGAATCTTCTTTAGAAAGCAAGCAGGAAAAGAGAAACTTTGGTTATCTTTTTTGCTCTATATACTTTCTGCTCTGAAAAATGTTTTCTGGTAAAAACATGAACACCTTCTGGCCAAAATGGAATGTGTAAGCTGCAAATTTCCCTTATAGATATTTATCCCACACCCATCCTTCCACGAGTGCAATGTGCACGCATCCACTCGGTCGGGCACTGGGCAAAGCCCGGTGGTCATGCTCACGGTGTTTACAGTCTAGAGGAGGACACACATTGACTGAAGAAGTGCAAGATGGAAAATGCCAACAGTGACAGGTGTCAAGAGGGAGGAGGTCACCAGGCTATGGACCACGGTGGTGACAGAGGTGGGGGGGGCCAGCCTGGAGCAGGACAAGTCAGGGGGACAGGGGTCCCAGAAAGTAGGGTTGCAGGTACAAAGGCCTTGTGGCAGGGTGGGGGGTACAGTTAACAGGAGAGATGAGAGGTCAGTGTGTTCTGGCTGCAGAAATCCAGGGGGCACATGCTGGGATGTGGCTGAACAGCCTAAGAGGACTGTGAGTGGCCATAGGGGACTCCAAGAGAGGACAGAAGGTGTAGGGGTGAAGGAGGAAGATCCAGCAATACTGAGGGGGTAGAAACATGGGCTGCTGTGACAAGAGAGACCGTGGTTCCATCTACTGAGATAGAGCATTTCAAGGGAACAGTTCAGTTTTGAACTTGTTAAATTTGATGTGCTCTTGAGACATCTTGAGTGTGTCAGGTGGGCAGGTGGACGTGTGGATCTGACGTCCCCAGGGGAGGCAGGAGCAGGAGGTAAAACTACGTACACCTGTGTGTAAGGGTCACTCCACAGGGTGAAGGAGGCAGCCTGGAGAGGGGACAGAATGAGAGGGCGGGAGGGCCCAGCAGCAGTCTTGGAGAACGCCGGGAAGGGGAGGATGAGCCTGCAAAGGAGAGCAGGAAGGACTGAGAACAGGGCGGAGGGCCCAGAAGCAGTCACCTCGTGGACACGCAGGAGAGAGTGCGCTGAGAACATGTTGACAGCTTCTGAGACGTGGAGTGGGACAGTGATTGGAAAATGGCAGCTGGGCTGAGCAACAGGTGGGGGATCTCTGGGGACCTGGGGGGTGGGGGAGGGTTGACGGAGCACAGCAGTGGAAACGAGGCTGGGGCACGTGGGAGAGTGCACCCTGGATCAGCCTAGGTGTTCAGAAGTCTGGAAGGAGAGAGAGGAGGAGGCCTGAGGGATGGAGAAAGGGGCTGAGTCCACAGAAGGGATAACCCTTCCATGGCACCTGCGGGGAAAGTGGAAGGGGCTGGGATCCGAGCCCACCTGAAGGACAAGGCTTTGGGGAGGCAAATCCTTCACCAGGAAGAGGGAAAAGAGACTGGTGCTGGGTGGCAGGGGCAGAAGCTGACTGAGGGGAGACGGGCGGCCCCCATCCCTGGCTCCCTGTATCTCTGGGAAGTAAGGAGCCATGACCATCTGCTGAGGATGAGGGCAGGCTGAGGGGCTCAGGGGCTCAGGGAGAACACAGAGAACTTGAAAAAGTGATTGCAGAATGTGGGAGGACAAGACAGAAGAGAGAAATGCGGCTGGGCTTTGGGGCAGCACGGGGAGGCCGTGATGGTTAATTTACAGGGAACCGAGCGGACTCCTGGAGGCACAGACGTTCCAGCAGAGCTCGGCCGCAGGGTGTAGGGTTGATGCAGGTGACTGGGCTTTTCTGGGTTTGAGGTCTTTGCTAGTCAGGTGGG